CGCCTTGGTTTTTCCACACGCTTCTTGCGACCCTGTTGACTATTTTGAATGAAACGCTTGATTGTTCGATGATCACGCTTCAGAAGCTTTGCAATTTTAAGAGTGCTGCATCCCTCTGCAAGATATCTCACTATTTTTGACTTTTCTGAGCCTGTCAAGTCCTTCTTTTGACCCATTTTGCCAAAGGAAAGGAAGTTGCCTAATAATTATGCACACCTGATATAGGGTGTTTATGTCATTAGACCACACCCCTTCTCATTACAGAGATGCACATCACCTAATATGCTTAATTGGTAGTAGGCTTTCGAGCCTATACAGCTTGGAGTAAGACAACATGCATAAAGAGGATGAATTGGTCAAAATACTCATTTGCCTAATAATTCTGCACTCCCTGTATAACCAAATGTCCTAGGGGGCGGGAAGGCGGGAAAGTCAGGATCCCTGCACTTCCAAAAGCTGACTGGTAAGTCCCCTCCCCTAACTGTCCTTATAACTGTCTTCCATCTTAGCAACTATGTATCCATCTATATCCCTCCCTTCCACTACTCCTTCAAGACTCCTTATCCTAGCCGCAGTCATGTCCCCCCTTCCTTGTCAGTCCAGGGAGGTGTCTTGACTGCTGTCTAGATGTCTGTACCACCCACCTGATGCCCCCTTTCCCCAATGACACACGGAGACCGTAATTAAGTTGGGTAAGGGCATCGGCCACAGCTTTATTTATTCTTTCCATGCCAGCAACATAATCATACTGTCAGCTGTTGGGGTGATTGCCCAACAGACAGGTCTATCCCCACAAACCATGAGTCCTGAGCAGCCTGCCTCTGCCATCAGCTCCCATCAGGCTGCGACTCCCCAAGCCTCCTCGGCAACTTCACCACTTCTGCCTGCGCTGGCCAGGACTCCCGCCACCGCGATGACGACTTCCCTTCACGCCTCCTGCCATCATCGTGCCCCCCGCCGACAGCGCAGCCTCAATCCCACCCTGCAAACCCGTGTTCAGGATGTCTAACCCTATGTCATTTAAGTGGACCCCATCCTTCCCCATCAAGTTCTGGTTCTCACCTTCCAGCTCCACATGTCGGATGACCACCCCTCCTGGCCGCCATACAAATTTCCCCACTGCAATGTTCAGCTTGCGCCGGCTCTTCTCCAAACCACGAGAGTGCGGAAGCGTGCGCCAGCACGGCCTGGAAACCACCTCCGACCAAACCAAGGTCATGTCTGGAAAGAGCGCCATGCACCTCGCCAAGTCGTGCCGAATCGCGTGGAGAAGGTCCACAGTCCTGGATACCCCTAAGTCGTTACTGCCCGCGTGAACCACCGCCACCACCGGCCCTGACACAAACTTACGCAGGGCCACGAACTCTGGATAAATTTGCTGCCACCGGAGGCCCCTAATGCCCTTCCACCTGACTCTGGCCAAGTCCACCGAAAACCCCAAATTCCGTCCGTAGGCCCGGCCTTCAGCTCGCCTAGCTGCCCAGTACACATAGGAATGCCCTATAATCCACACGTACCAGGGCCGACCACCTACAACGAGAAGAGGGTTACAGCATATGAGGTCGGACATAAGACTTAAAACGCCCCGACCCCCATCTTCCAATCCGTTGAATTCCCGCAGCCGAGTACCCCAATACACTTGCCTGGGTAGCCGCTCCGATCCGAATGGAATGGGCCGAAAACCCGTGACCATCCATCCCACTCGCAACCAACGCTCTCTTCAGCATCGCCGAGAACTGATACCGGGTCAGAGGAGACCCGTCTACGTGAGCTAACAAAGGGCCTCCCCGCTCCGGGCGCACCTCCAGAAAAGCGTGGAAGGCCCCAACCGGACAGACTTCGTCCCTCGTGGCCTCCAAACGAACCCAGGCCCCCCGGGCCGCCTGGTCCGTCTTAAATCGCCGCACAAAAATGTCGACGGTGGAAGTAGACCACCGCACATCCGACAATGCCAACGGCGAGGCCTTCCCCTTGCTTGGGGCTACCAACTCGCCGATGCGAAAGGCACCAAAAAAGCAGACCGAGAAGGCCACGCGAAACAACTTCGATACGTACTCCGAACCACAGACCGTTGGTAGTACTAAAATAATCCGCCGCAACATGTCAGCCGAAATTGGGCGACGACCATCCGGGCGACGCCGCAGCCGCCAACCCTTGACCACCCTCTGAATCCCATATTCCTTAGTAACATCCTGCCAGCCCATAAAGCGAAACAAGAACGACAGGGCAGCCAACGCCTTCTCCGCTGCAGGCCAGGACCTACCTCTCCTGACCAAGTCATCCAGCAACACGAGAGTCCGCTCCGCACGACCCGATTCCGTGGATACATCCCCGTCCCATGCTGACGCCAGCCACTGCCTCCACACTGCCCGGTATGCCTTCCAGGAAGACTCCGCCAAGGAATGCGATACCAAGCCCATCAGGCCTCGAAATCGAGCTTCCATAAGGAGTCTGGACACCGCAGACTGGTCCGCTGCGCCTCTGGCGCTGCCTCCCGAAACCGCTCCCACTGCAAGCGAGACAATGCATCAGCCACCACGTTCTGCACACCCGGGACATGCTGCGCCCGCACCCAAACATTAAACTTAAGACTAAGGAGTACAAGGTGACGGAGAAGAGCCAAAACAGGTGGAGATGAGGAGGACGAACGGGCAATCACATGGACCACACTCATGTTGTCCGTGTGAAAGACCACCGTGTGATTTCTTTGATCCTCACCCCACAGTTCCAGCGCGACCACTATCGGAAACAGTTCCAAAAAGGTCAAATTCCTCCTCAAGAAGGAAGACCGCCAATCCTCCGGCCACTCCCCCGCGCACCACTGACCCCGAAAATACGCTCCAAAACCAACGGACCCCGAGGCATCGGTAAAGAGATACAACGCGGCATTGGAGGTGGCCTCCCTCAACCAGCACGAATGCCCGTTGTAACTACGTAGGAAGGAGCTCCACACCGCCAGATCCGACCGGAGGCGCCTCGTGATCCGAATGTAATGGAAGGGTTCCCTCACCCCCACCGTGGACAAGGACAATCTGCGACAAAATGCCCGACCCATCGGTAACACTCGACATGCAAAAACCAAGTGCCCCAAAAGGCCCTGCATCTGTCGCAACTGAACCTTCTTGGAACCTTTGACCAAGTCCACTAGCCGAAGAAACCCCTCCAACTTCTCCTCACTCACGTCACGTCACTTCTGGCCGCGCCGGAAGAGAAGGTGGAGGGCTCCTCGATCTTCTCCCCATGCCGCCATCTTGGGAATGGCTGCCGGACGCCACCACAGCCCTCACCTGGGACCGGACTGCTCGGGGGGACGACCCAAGGCTCGGCTCCACATTCCCAGCCACACCAGTATGCCGGCGCCTGCGGCCTTCTCGCTCTCCTCTCACCGGGCTGGGAGACAGTCGCGACGGCGGCCTTGAACGCCTGGCCCGCCGCCCCTCATCCACTGGCCTTGCCTCTTCACCTGGGACACCGTCCATGCCGGCCAACACCGCTGCCATCGAGCCTGCACCATGTGCAACCTGGTAAGCCTGCAACAGGGCCACCAACGATTCCTGAGAAACTTCCATCAGAAAATCAGGAAAACAGGTAAGTGAAAGTATGAATAATAATAGATTTTTTTTTTTTTTTTTAAAAGGGGTCAGCAAAGAAGGACAGATGAAGGACAGATGAAAGTCAGGATCCCTGCACTTCCAAAAGCTGACTGGTAAGTCCCCTCCCCTAACTGTCCTTATAACTGTCTTCCATCTTAGCAACTATGTATCCATCTATACCCCTCCCTTCCACTACTCCTTCAAGACTCCTTATCCTAGCCGCAGTCATGTCCCCCCTTCCTTGTCAGTCCAGGGAGGTGTCTTTATTATTTTAGGTGCAATAAAAGTTAGAATGGATCTAAGGAGTGGTGCTTATGAAATAAATGTATTGACCAAGTCATTTGGGACAAGAAAAAAGTATTATTTTCAAACAAATATGCTGCTATGTCACTGCAAGCCTAGTTGCCTTAGAAACTTGTGATGCACTTATATACCAGCAATGGTTATAGGTGAAGTGATTGAGCCACAAAAATAAAAACTAATAAGTATGAGATCGCTCAAGTGGAAGCCTCAAGAACACTTTCCAATCTTTTCCACAAATATGACCTTCAGGTGAACAACTGTTTATCAAGGTCAATTTCAAATAGTTTTTGTTTGTGTTTTAATCCCCCTTAAATGTCAAAATAACTGGGATAGTTCTTGGAATCTTGTGATTACAATAATTATTCAAAATCACATACATACAGGTATATAAATCTGTATGACTGAGGTGCCTGGTTATTCCAGCAGTAGGACTGGAAAGCGGCTAAACCCATGAAAAATCCTGCGCTATAAATATTTAGAATTGGTGTAAACATTATACCTATAAATATTCAGGACTATATTACACGTTCTGGCTGAGCTTGATAGGCAGGTCAATGAGAGGCATCGCCTATGAAGTTATATATGTAAAATCATACAGTGATTATTCCTATAGAGGCAGTGCACAATTAATCCTGAGAAAGGTATAATATATGTCTGCGGAATATACTTATTTCTACTATGTTCAGAGACACATATGTAATTCAGTAAGGGTGTTTGTAGATTATTGTGTAAACCTGGCTTCCTTTTAGAGAGGTGTCTTATTATATATAAGAGTATTGACATGTAGCATTGTTATAAATGAGCAACACTAGCCTGGGATTCCCCTCTATAAAGTAGATTTCTCTTTATTTTTTTGTAGGCAAGAAAAGAACGTGGAGTATTACAGACACAAAGGATGAATATTAATATCAGATATTTAACTTGAAAATAACGTTTCACAAGGCAATTCATATGAATGATTTTATTTTCTCATTCTGCTTTACAATTTATACATTTTTAATACTTTTTTTTGTTTAACATACACTGCGTTTATATATCATTATTATTTACAAAATTGCATTGAACATTGAGAAAGATAAATGCATTTGTTTATGGCTAAATTATTTCAACAATATAATGCTTATAACTTTCCCATTCTAGCAGCAGGTAATACAAACATAAAAAATATCAATCTTTTTGGTCCAGTATCCAACAATGTAATAACATATATCAATAGTGTTCACTCTGCTAGTTTTAGCTATTGGCAATCTGTATAAAATCACCTTTTCAGGGAGCAACACAATCTCTAATTATCGAGTGCTTTTAAGAGCACAAATGTAATATGAAAAAAATAAAATAAAAGAGAATCACCTGTAGGCGCATACACATTTATTATATAGATCCTTCCCATCTCCTAAAAAAGAAGTAGAAACTTTATTCAGAAAGTGTTTTACCTGCAAGAAAATACATTGAGCTTTCTCTTGTTTTCAAATATGTCCTGAATGTGCAATCGATACAATCTGTTTCACACAAAATAAAAAATTAGATCTCAAGGAGCAGTTTTTACAGGGCCGAGAGCATCATTTTTTCAGAGACTGTTGGCTTGCGGAATATTTAACCCCTTAAGGACACATGACGGAAATATTCCATCATGATACCCTTTTTATTCCAGAAGTTGTGCCCTTAATGTCTTCTAATGGGTTATTCCACTGTTGTGGAGCTCTATATGAAAAAGCTGCAAAATAAGGTGCTAGAAGACAACCTTAAATGTTAGCGTCTGTCGAGTGTTGAAATGAACAGGTTCTTTATATAGTGTGGAAGCTTGGTAGAAAAGTGATTATGAATCAGGCAAGGTAAGTGATTAAGATATATCTCAATTCGATTATTAGCTAATCTAGTTTTTTGTTGCTGGACAACTCAACAAAATGAATTGTATAGTGAGTGCAGTGTGAGTGGTGTGTTTACTGATATGCATTTAAGGTGCCGATTTATACGCCTCTAACGTCAATAACAGCCATTGGCTGCCATTATAGGGGAAGGGGGTTGTTGTGCAATATATAGGTGTCATAGAGTTGTCAAGAGTGTGGGATGACAGAACATTCAAGAACAATGAAAAATCAGGACTCTGGTGCATGTGATCCACTAATGAAAGTATATCGCAGGAAAGTCTTTGAGACATGCACAACATGTGGTCCAAGACAAATGCTCCAAGCTAGTTAATACTTTTAAAATCTGACACTACTTACATACAAGTTTTTGCAATTTTCTTTAGATTTTATTTGTTCAGCTGTTTCATAGTTTTTCAGGAAAAGGTGCTTCTATAGTAGTAATTTGTATAACAAACTGCAAATTGTGGCTGCAAGTAACTGGTATAGTAGCCACAGGTACCTAGAACTGAGTTTCCTCTTGCACATTTGTTGTGATGTCTTCTCCTTCAGAAGTGTTTTCATTCAGCAGAGATACAACCACTGAGATTGTTGTGCTGGGATCAAGTAGTTGTACAACAGGTATGTTCACGTTCTTTTCTTGCAAGATGCGACTCTGTAAGCTCATGCCCATCATTGAGTCAATTCCCAAAGAACTTAAGAAAGTATTCATTGTAATTTCACTTGCACTGGCACTTGTCAATTCACTAATCAACATCTTCACATAATCGGTTGATTTCATGTTAGTGTGTTTGGAAGGTTCGTCAAATTGGATTTTGCCATTAAGATGCTTGGATTCTTCAGTTATCACCTGAATTAACAGTTTCTTCAGTGTGGGAATTCGAGACAAAAGTTTTTCATACAAGGCTTTAAAATCAAATTTGATAACAGCCTGTAGGGATTTATTAAGTCTTAGAGCTTTTTTAAGATGTCTGTGTATCTCCTCTGGGTCAAAAAGAAGTATTCCTTTTGCATTCAGAATTTCATGTATGTTGTCTTGATCCTGTAAAACTCCTAAATTGAGGGCACCCCAGCTGATAGATTGTCCAGAAAGTCCCATATTCCTCCTGTATTGACAGAAGACATCTAGAAATGAGTTGGCAGCTGCGTAATTTGATTGTCCTGCATTTCCAACAAATGAGGCAACAGATGAATAACATACAAAATAATCTAGTTCTTGCTTAATTGTAGCACGGTGTAGGTTCACTGCTCCATCTACCTTTGGACTCAGTACCTTCTCAAACAGTGATAAGTTTAGGCTCTCTAGGATCCCATCATGCAAAACTACAGCACTGTGAAAAACACCTTTAATTGGAATGTTAGAAAAGATTTTCAGAATGGAATTCACTGTCTTTATTACCTCTGAGTAACTGGTTATATCACATGGAATGGCCATTATTTTGATATTCACCTGTTCATTCTGAATCTTTTTTATATCTTCTTGCATTTCAGGGGTGGGGCGTCTCCTGGACAAAATCACGATATTCCCACCACCATTTTGAGCAATAAACTTTACTGTTTCAAATCCAAGGCCAGTCAGCCCACCTGCAACTATGTAAATAGCATCATGGTTGAAAAGAGTTTCCTCCTTGACAGGAAATGTAATGTTGCTTTTCTCAATTTCAATAAGTGGTACATTTTGCATGGTAAAGTAACTGGGTTCTGTATCATTAAGGCAATGCCTGCTGACAGACATGGTTATTGACTTTGAATGATTTACAGACAAATCTATGTGTGTTGACTGCAGCCACTTGTATATCTCTTTGGCAAACTTTTTTAAATGTGCTTTCTGGAAAACGGTAACGGGATTAAGTAATTCAATGTGTGTATCCTCACTACAATGCTCGGTCAGGTATTGGAAACTTTCTGGATTTTTCTGGTCAGCTATTATAATTAAATCCTTAAGTAGGGATAATTGCAAAAAGTCTACCTCTAAGATGTTTTTGGATGGAGGCAGAATAATCATGGCGCTGCACTGTTTGGTATTTATATCAATTTCTGGAGATACCATTGGTTCCCAACCTCTACCTTTTGCTGCATTCATAAGGATCATACTTAGAACTGTCTTTTTTTCAGTAGAGATGATGATGAGCTTGGGTTTATTTTTTGCTGGTGGAAGCAGGTGATGTAAAACTTCCCACGCTAAAATAAATTGGGAAATGCAAGGCAGCTTCTTTAGAATTGGGACCTTCTGTATTAAACAGCAAACAGTCTCAGGGAGCCCCACTTTGGATGACGCAAGTGTTGGATAACATGTAGCAACCCGATCCCCTACTTTAAGCTTCTTGACATGTTTTCCAACAGCTGTTACAGTGCCAGTGAAATCCAGAGCAAGGAGTTTATGTTTTTCTGTGGACAACGTGCTCCAGTACAGAGTATTTCCAAACTTCCAACCTGAGGCACTAACAGGAAAGAAATCGTCAGAATGTGAACATATCTGATCAATTTGAACCTCAACACATTTATCTGTGAGTTTGATGGCTTTAGAATGGTCTAGTTCAGCAGACAGTTCAGTTATTATGTATGGATTGGCAGTATACAAAGTAAAATTGTCAGACTTTTTTAATGATACTGCGTGATGCCTTTTTTCTACAAAGTCTATTTCAGTAGGAGTGACTTCACTTGTATATATTTCACCCTTATGTATCCAAACTTCTGGATGAGTCCTAGGTGTATAATGATAAGCAACGCGTGCTAGAGCTTTCACGTCTTCTACGTTTGAAGAACTTATGTCAATAAGTTGAAATGTAATGTCAGGCATCTCAGTTGCACAAGTTCTAGTCATGCCAGTCAGGGCAAATCCAGGGTTAATGTGATCCACGGTGGGTTCAGCTGTTCGGAAGGTGACTGTTCTTATGGAAGCTCCAGAATTTAGTTGTCTCACAGCCAAGATCACTTGTCGATACATCTCACAGCACCTAGCTAAGTAATGTGGGAGATTGTTTGGAAACTCTTCACTTGGAGTATGAATTCCCCACATAAACCAAATTTCTGTAAACTTACTGTTAAAATTTTTGGTTAAGTCTATGTCTAATTCCCAGTTTTTAAACATCACATATTTTAAAGTATCATTAGTGTACTTGGATAACTCTTGTCCAATTCCAGAGTTGTCAGCAAACACTAAGATGTTGGGTACTCGGAGTCCTTTGTGTGACTGTGGTGGCAATGTCACCCAGTTATTGTGGAAGAAAATGTTTTTCTGCTTGCTTATTACTTGATGTATAAATGATATTTTAGCTTGATTGATTTCAATTAAAACACAGCCATTTTCATTAGTAAAACCTCCACAGAGAACAACATGGTTCTCTGCTTTCTGGACTGTTTTTAAATAGATGAACATTTGTTTTTGAAGTGGTCTGAATACAGTCATATTTCCTATTTGAGAAGGGAAAAGAGCCGAGGATTGTATGAATTCTATCCCAGTAATGACTCCCATTTGAAAAAAGCAATCTAGAACAACTGGATGCACATTATATTCATACATTGTTTCTATAATCTCTTCACTCACTGTGACTCTAGCAATTCCTTCCATTAATTCTCCCCCGTAATGTATGTCCGATAGTTGTCTGAATGGTTTCCCATACTGAAATCCAAACTTTGACAATGACTCGTAAACTTTTTCCTGGATCAAAACTAAATTACACCGTTTCAGGATGCGCTGGAAGGAGATTCTTTTCTCCTCTAAAATTCCACCGCTTTTCTGAATTTGGCCTGTCGCATAAATGTGTGAAGACTGGATAGAAAAGTCTGTCAATATATTTCCATGTTCAAGTTTAATATTCAGGTTTAGAGAGTCTTGATTAACAACACAGGGACTAGCGAAGTTTACACTGATACTTAGGGAACTCAAGGGCATTTTAGATTTCAATCTGGTCATAGCAGCTGCCAAACCAAGCTCTATATAAAAAGTGCCAGGGACGAGTGTAGTTTCATTATATTTGTGCTTATAGACATAGGGTGTGTTTTCTTTAGAAATAGTGCATTGAAAGTCTGTGAAGTCTTGACTAACATTGTGGATCAAAGGATGACTGGATGTTGCAATGGTCTTATTTCCTTCTTGTATTTTGCCAAAATCCACACCTTGTTTAACATGGTCAAACTGATGCCTGGGAAGAACAGCTGGTGGAGATTTATATGTTTCATAAATATGACACCAGTCAGGATTGTATCCCTCTGTGAACAGTTTAACCAGGACAGCAAATATTGTCTCATATTCCTTATTAGGATGAACTGCAGGCAAAATTATATTTTTCTCACCCAAAACATCAGTGATGTTCCATTGTAAAGCTCTTTTTGGCCCTATTTCAATAAACACTGGATTTTGTTTACCAGCAATTGAAGACTTTATTGCTTGCTCAAAAGCAACTGGTTCACGGATATTTCTAGCCCAGTATCCTCCAATTGTAAAATCCCCTTTAGAAGCATTCACTCCAGTCACTGTGGAGATAATGTCAGTTTCAAGTGTTTGTGCTTTCAAATCTTGCAATTTATCTTCTATCTCCGATAAAATAGGATCCATCATGTGACTGTGATATGCAGCAGGAACGTCAAGTTGATGTAGAAATATGTTCCTTTTGCTGTACTGTTGGTTTAATTGATCATGGAGTTTTACTATTAATTCTGCATCGCCAGATATTGTACATGAGATAGGACTATTATAAGCGGCCATGTTTATTCTTTGTCCATATGACCTGATATCTTTTGATATTTCGGTCACAGGTATATTGCTCACTACCAGCATTTTCCCTCCAGTGACTTTGGATTGCAATGTGCTCCTGTAATAAATCACTTTCACAGCATCCTGAAGTGAAAGAAGTCCAGAACAATGTGCGGCAGCAACTTCTCCAACTGAGTGTCCAACGATAGTGTCTGGTTTGACTCCCCAATGTCTCAGTAGAGCCACTAATGAAGTCTGAATGGTAAAGAGCAGTAACTGTGCAATGTCTGGTCTGGAGAAATCATCAAACTCACTCTCTAGTAACTTCACCATGGAAAGAGATGTATATACCTGAAGTAACTCATCTATCTCAATGCATTTCTTTCTAAATACCGGTTCTGATCTCAGTAACATCTTGCACATCCCTTTATATAGAAGTCCATTACCACAGAACACAAACACAATTTCAGGGCTTTTTTGTGCAGGAGATGATTCAGTGTTTGCTTTTGCTAGTTGTTCTTGTAAATTTTTTAAGGATGATGCCAGAAATGTTTTTCTAAATTTGAAGTTTTTGTGGCTTCTTCTACATGCAGATGTGTAGACTAAGTTCTCAAAAGACAAAGAGTCCACTCTGTTTAACTGCTGCTTCGTGTCTTCAATAGTTAGTTGAAGGGATTTACTGGAAGCTGCAGATACAACAAAAATTTCAACAGGCCTTTGAGATAAATGTTTAAAGTCATTTAATCTGTGTTGTTTTACTTGCTTAATCACAGCATGAACATTTGTTCCTCCAAATCCAAAGCTGTTAATGCTGGCTATTCTACCGAGTTTCCTATCTTCCTTCCATGTCTCTGGAGTTATTGGAATTGTTAAGTTGGATTCTTCCACCTGTGCGATACCTGTTTCTTTGGAATAATGCAATGATGGAGGAATCACTTCATGGTGCATCATTAGGAGAACTTTAATTAAACCAGCCACCCCGGAAGCAGACTCTGTGTGACCAATATTTCCTTTAACTGAGCCGATCTTTAGAGGTGATCCAGAAGGACGTTTTTTCCCAATAATTTTTCCAATGCTGGCTGCTTCCACAGGATCTCCAACAGGGGTTCCAGTGCCATGAGCTTCCACATACTGCACTGTAGATGGGTCAATGATAGAATAGATTGTTTTCAGCAAAGCCTCCTGCAAGTCTTGGGATGGTCTGGTTATTGGTGTCACTGATTTTCCATCCTATTTTACCGCACTGGCACATATAACTCCCCAAATCTTGCTGCCATCTTCTTTTGCCTACAATATGTAATAGAATAGTGTTATTGAATTGTGTGAACTGATATTTTAATATGCAATAAATGGTTGCTATTTTTGATATGTTTATACCATTAATAGATAACTAGGACAGTGCCCTGCTCAAATTAGCAGAGTTATTCGCTAAAGTGAGAATTCAAAGGAAATTTCGAATTTAAGATCAGATTAGCAAAACCAGAAAAAAGTCAGCAATGGGTCTAGTTTAGCTAATTTTGGCCTTGAATTTGGATAAGCGGCCAGTGTGTGTCTGATTAAACAAATTTTTAAAAGTTAGAAGATACGTTGTTGTAGAGTAAGAATTAAAGGAACACTATTGCGTTTAAAATACAGATATTTTATAGTTAAAATATAGGAAAAAAAAAGTTTTTCATTTACCTTTTTTTCAACTACCCACTCCTCCTTCCATATTGTAATTCGGCTGACTCACTTCTTTGTCTTCTCATCCAATTCGCCAATGCGCCTCATAGAGGAGCAATGGAAATGAGAAGCACCACGCTCCTCCTATTAAATGCTCTCAATGACAAGCATTCAGAGGAGGGGAGGTCTGAGAACAGATTTTGATTTGGTTCTCATAGCAGAAGCACACTCTAGTGGCTGTCAAGAAGACATCAACTAGTGGTATATTTTGTCCTGCAGTGGAAACTTTGCTGTACCTACTAAATGTCAATGTTTTATATTGCATAGTTAAAACTAAAGGGCCACTGCACCCAAAAGTTGGGGAGTACTGTATGTGTTGACCAGATGCTGTTTATCTGGACTTTCTAGTAACTGAGCTGGGGAAAACTTCTGGAGTATCTATCTTCAACATATAACTTGAAGATATAAGGAATACAAAAATTCTAAAAAAAAAGCTACTTTCTTATCCCACAAATTTTGGCCTACAATTTCCAGTTTATTTGTCAATTTGCCACAATATAGCATTTAGAAAATTAAAATAAAAAATTTGTTAAGAATCTACCTTCTTCAGTTTTTTTAGAACAACAATTCCACATCCTTCCCCTCTTCCATATCCATTTGCATTTTTTGAAAATGGTTTGCTGGTTCCATCAGGAGAGATCATTTTTGCTTTGGAAAGAGCAATAAATATACGAGGTTCCATGATAGAGTTCACACCTCCGCATACCGCCATCTCACAGTCTCCTGTTTGAAACAGAGGAAAATATTTATATTAAAACACAATATTTTCAAATTGTATTTAATTTGAAGAAAACATGCATGTATTATTTTTTTTTTATGTTTTCTTGCAATAGCTGCACATTGACCAATGAGAAGCTTCTAATTGAGAACTATAGTTTATTGATAAGTATTAGAAGGCACCAGCCTCTACTTTTAACTCAGTGTGCCGTCTTATGGACACGCTGGCCCTGCGTGTGGTGGGCCACAGCTGCCTCTCACATTATAGGCAATATCGGTATAAATAGTGGCGATACCAATATTTGCCAAATTCTGGAATATTGGCCGGACTGGTAATCAGCCAAACCCTACTCTTCAGCAAGCTTAATTAAAAGGTTTACAGAGATTTTTATTCACTAAACACCAATGTTTGTGTGGATAGTCAAAATTCTGTGACAATGACCAGTTTCCAACCCGATTAATAATACCATGAGTGCCAGATGCCATTGTTAAGTCCTCCTTGAATTAAGGTCCACCTTTCTCCCCCAGGAAGTTAGGGGTCCCCAAGATCATAGCAATCCTCCCTTTACATTGTTCCTACCTACTACTTACACTATCCCTATAATAATGTGATATTTGAAGACACACAAATATTTAGGAACAGTTTTATTTAAATTATGGGTTTCAAAAGCTTTTTATTGAGCATTGCAAACATGAGGTAATACAAGCGATATAGATGTGTCAAGCAATCTGGACATGCAGGTCCGAATATCAGTATTAGTAAAATCGAGTTATACAGTGTTATTCCTCTGTTTATATGTCTATAGTACGAACCTGGAATTGGCGAAACGTATATTGTAACTGTATGGGTACCAAAGTGGTATCGGAAATAACATTTGGTATCGATAGACCATTTCGTTGCACATATTCTATCAGACAAAAAACAATAGGTGCCACCTAATTGGTCTAGCGCAATCAATATAGGCATAATACATCAGTAAGTGTGTGGAGTATCTGCTAGCCATCAGTGTCACGGCACAGCCCGAGCCCTGCAGACAGCAAGGCGTGGCTGTCCCTTTAAGAGACCTGGCTGGGTTTGAACTCACAGCTCCAGCACCCCAATCAGGTTTTCTGCCATGATATCCACCAGGGGGCTTCAGTATCTGTCTGCGTTATTCTGCTTCCTGACCCCTTGCCTGGATTAAGCAGTGCTAATTCACCTGCAGCCCTTTTCCAATTAGAGTCATCTGCATCTAATTAGCAGGCTGTAAAAGCCAGCCCATCCTGATACCTAGCATCTGGTCATTTTGCCTGTTTGGTGTTTCCTGCTGGATCTCTGCTTCGCTACTGATTGATTTCCTGGACTCTGACCTCTGCCTGCTTTACCAACTACGTTACTCCGCTGCCAGCCCTGACTTATGCTTCTCGTCTGACCCTGCCTTTGGATTTCCCCTTAATCTGTACTGCGTTTTTGGTTTTTGCCTCCTACCTGTGCCATATCCTGCAACTGGGCTCAAACTCCTGGTAAACTGTTACATAAGTCCCCAGGTGACTGTTACACTTGGTCCGTAAGTTAAGAGTTCTAGCTCACATTTAGCTGGAGGCGGTAGTATGATCTTACCAGGGGGTACTGATAAATAATTAAATTACATCTGGTAAAGTGATGAAGAGTGAAAGAAGATAAAGTGAGACAGGAAGAGGGTGAGGGAGGGGGGGGAAAGAAGTCAAGTGCCAGCCCAGGTGCCGGGAGTTTGTGGCTTACCAAGTGGTCAGGATTGATCTACATGGCGGGTAGGGTATCCAGGACCTCCTGTGTAAGGGAGCAGGCCAGAAGTAGCAGAGTAGGATTGAGTTAGTCCCATTCTTTATGTCTGCGATCCTTGGCAGCAACACGCCGATTCTGTTGGACAGTATCTTTGTCAGTAGCTTGATGTCCACATTGAGTAGGGAGATCGGCTAGTAGCTGCCACATAGTTCGGGGTCCTTACCCGACTTTGAGAGGACAGTGATTGTGGTCGCTAACAGCTCAGAGTGAAAGTGAGAATCCGTTATGATAGCGTTAAATGCTTGAGTAAGCCTCGGCAGCAGGATATGCCTGAACCTTTTATAATTGTCGAAGGTGAAGCCATCCGGTCCCGGGACCCGCCCAGTTTTAGCAGACTTGATTGCACCCGCAACTTCCTCTTTTGTGATCAGCCTGTCCAGGGAATCAGTTTCCTCTGGTCGCAGTCTCTTGGCCACATATTTGTCGAGGTAGCGTCGCACCTTATCTACCCTGCTCTTTGCGTCTTCTGGCCAAGTTGGTTGTGGGATATTGTAGAGTAGAGTAGAAGGAGCGAAACTCCGCAGCACTCTTGTCTGGGAACTGGGTAACCGTACCGTTCGAAGTACGCAACTTGTGTACTTGGGCTTAAATTTGGGGGCCCTTGAGCATCCTTGCTAGTAGCTTCCCTCCCTTGTTAGTGTGTTGATAGAAGAAGGCTTTCGATCTCTGTATAGACCTGAAATATCTATGGGTAATATGTGTGTAAAGTTGCCGTTGTGCCTCCAGTAAGTCAGTGTAGGTCGCCACTAGTTGGGAACACTTGTGCTGAGCTTCGAGAGTTGTTATTTTCTCCACCAGTTCGGCTGTCAAGCCTTGTGATTCTCTTTTTTTTTTGGAAGCCAAGCACATCAAAGTTCCCCTGAGTACGCTCTTGTGGGCTTCCTAAATGGTTGTCGCCGTGTGTTCGCCCGGCGTGTTTATCTCAAAGTATGAGTTGAGAGCTTCAGATATTTAACCTCTCGCATCTGGATCCAGGAGGAGTGTTTCCTGAAGACGCCATGTCTGGACAGCCGGCCGTGTCCTTGGGGAGTCAAATTCCAGCATTACAGGGCCATGGTCTGACCATAGGGCCGCCCCAATCTCAGCTGTTTGGATTGTGGACACTTGTTCCTGTTGTAGAAATATATAGTTGATCCTTGAATATCGTTTGTGGATCACTGAGTAATGCATATATTCCTTATCCCCATAATGCATGGCTCTCCAGCAGTCCACCAGTCGTAGATTCCGCAGGGATTTCTGTATACCCTTTATGGCCCCTAGTGCAATACTGCTGTGACCCGTGGAGGAGTCCATCATAGGGTGTAGGGGGATCAATGTCCCCTCAATGAATGGCGAGAGCTTCTGGAGAATTCTGCAGATGTATGGGGATTGATTAGAGTTCGGTACGTAGATTGTCGCAAACGTGTATCTGCGATCTTGAATGACTCCTTTCAGGAAGATGTATCTTCCTACCTTGGTCTACCTCTCTGTCTGACTCTTGAAATTGTAGTTTCGCCTCCAGGAGTATGGTCACGCTAGCTTTATGGGCCGTAGGGTGATTGCTACATACTACGTTGGGATATTGTTTACTTTTTAAAGCTGGAACTGCTACTTCCTTAAAGTGTGTTTCCTGAAGGAAGGCCACGGAGATATAGCATATGCCATGCTGGAGCTGGAGTGGCAGTCCGTGGCCTAATTTACCTCCCCTGCAGTAGCGTTCAGCGGGGGCTGAGACAGGAGTCCCCAGCGATGAACTCCCTTCTACCCTCCTGCCAGCAAGGTAGGTACCCCAGGGAATGAGTCATGCCCCGGAGCAGAAGCTCCCAGACTACGACTGCTCTCCCAGACTACGACTGCTGGAGGGGATGGGGGGGATGGAAAGGTTAGAGAAGTAAAGTTGTACAGTTAACGTCTCAAGGGAGAGACACATGCGTCGCTCGAAAAATGGAGGATGAAGACCCCACCGAAGAGGGGGATTCATGTGACCATGGCAGCAGTCGGCGCCCGAACCTGCCAGAACAAGTGTTCAGTCGCCGACTTCTCATAGGAAGGGATTATTCACACAAGTGTATTTGGGGTGAATGGTCCAGTCCGATCAGTGATCACCAACACAGGATAGTTAGGCACCAATTTAAATGTGATATTTCAACAGTAATCAACCAGCAGGTACTCCGCCACTCTATGGAAAAACAATAACTTGCAGTAGCGAACAGTAATTTATAAGCGGTGTAAATGTCTATTGTGTGAAACATTAGGAAGTGTGCAAAACTACCACCCAGGGGTGCTATAGAATTCATGGGGTGTTTGGGTCTCTGCAGTGCCGCAACGAGCCGCACACCTATGCGCTACCTATCTGTGCCTCCCCTCAGACGAAAGTCGCTTTGCTGGCCACACCCCTGCACAGTGGGGTGTTTTGTTTTTTTTGTGTGCAAACTAAAGAGTCCCTGTACCCCACTCCCCCTCCTCCCACCCCTCCCCCACCATCCCCGCCTCAACCATCTCAGCTGATGTCCCTTTTCCCCATCACCAAACACAAAGAGTAGTTACCCCCACCCTTATGTCCAGTGCGTGACTTTGCTCCAAATTCCCACATGACACTCCGTATATACCCCGTGCTTGGTTGATGCCATCCCGTGACTATTTCCCAAATTGGGATGACTAGTTTGGGGATACGTGCACAGTCCGCGCAGGGGCATGGTCGCCCAGATCAGGACATCCCTTACCGAGGCTAGGCCTCACATGTCCCTCCCACAAGCAAAACCATGGCACCCCCCCAGGCTGCAAATTCAGTGTATGTTGAATTCAGGCCTTGTTCCCCTTGACAGGCAGGAGGCCTAATTAGGCCCGGCTAGTAAGAAGTCAGCTAATCAAATGGCCCCTGCAAAGCTGCAGTCATGTGCTCAAGCTCCTTCCCCCACCCAAAAATCATACCCAGCAAGCTAGAATTCCTTCCTGGGATTGGCATCTCGGAGTAATTCATGGGGGGGTTGGATTTATATAGTAATTACAGGTAGCATTGTTGGTTGACCTGGGTGGCCCTCTTTCTCCGTATGGACTCACTCACCAGAAACGTAGGTAGTGAAAGCTCTCTATTCCTCTGGGTTAGCCAGATGAGGTGGTGTGACCCGGGAACCCCTCTGGGTTCTTCGGGGAATCCTCTGGGGTTGGGACCCACGGTTCAGTGGTTCCAGGATACAATCAGGAACCTCTATTGGTGGGAGCTCCAGACGCTGTAGGAAATGCGGTATCTCGATTGGCCAGCGTGCTGCAATCCAGTCGTTGCGGTTCTGAACTTGAATGCTGAACGAGAAAGCCCAATTTGTAGGGGATATTCCTTTCCCGAAGGGCTGTGGTTACAGGTCGAAGTGCTGTTCTGGTCTTTAGTGTAACCGGCGAGAGGTCATTGTAGAGGGCTACATCCATACCCTGGCATCTCTAGGTGGCCCGTGTTCTGACCTGCCGCATGATGTGCTCTTTCAGTTGAAAAGAACAGATGATATTTTATGCGTCTCCATCTCTGATCCTAGCGCTTAAGGTCCAGTGTGCTCTTTCAAAGCGGATTTCCGCTGGGGCTTCCTCTCCTAATATCAGGCGGAAAATCCCTGTACGGCTTGTCTCCACATTCTCCCTACCATCGGGCTCGGGCACCCCTCTAACCCTGATGTTGGAGCGACGGCCTAGGGTTTTTTTGGGGGCTCTCACTGCTTGTTGCGCTGGCAATAAATCCATCCCCTTCACAGTGTTCACCTATCAGCAACTTGAATGGGAAAAGTAAATTTAATATTTTTTAATTGATCAACCTATCAACCACATCTGGATGCTATGATGGCTCGCCCTGCACATGTGCACTTCAAATGCGAAAGATAGATGCAGGAGATAGTGACAGGAGTTGAGATTAGCGACTTGCTGTTAAAACCATCTATTTCCATGCTGGTAGGCTATTTGGACATGGAAAGTAGCCCATCTAAGGAGCAAAATCATTACCCAAAAATTCAAACAAAATAGTGTGTGGACTAGCATGGACGTTTGGGGAATAAAAGGCAGAATTCTGCTGAGCTAAACACACTATACCATTTATATGTTCAGTATACTACTATAACAACTGTACCTTGCTTGATGGCTTGACAGGCGTAATGCAGAGCTACAAGGGAGGATGAGCATGCAGTGTCTATTGCCAGGGATGGTCCCGTCAGATTGAAGCAGTAAGATATCCTGTTTGCTGCTAAACTTGTTGATGTTCCTGTGCCATTAAAATGATTGATTCCGGCCGGATAAGCATTAAATATTGATTCACAATCTCTGTTCAAAAAGAAAAATAGTTATAAAAAATACAGCGTAATAAACCATCCATGTTTAAATTCACATAACACTTTGTGATGGAAAATAATTGCCACTAAGGACCTTAATTGTAGCAAAATGGAGAAACATGTTTTTAGCTCTAGAACAGTACATAATGTACAGTAAATTCTCTGCGAACACTGTGTTTGTAAAAAGAGGGGGAATCCTGATTCCTTAAGTAATACAATCAATCGGTTTATTGACAAGAAGTAAAGCTTAGGGAACAATGTTTAGGAATCACGATGCATGTTGCCCTGCTATTTTCTTTTATAAATTGCATTAAGAAAACAATTTAGAATAATGGGATATTCACATTGGTCAATGTGTCCCTCTATCCCCCTATTTCTACTGCCACACAGGAAACACATTGACATACTTGTTCATAGGTCCAAGGCTGTGTCCGTTGTCTGCACTGTGGATTGCAGTATTTTAAAACAAAGTGTAGAAGTTGCCACTTCCAAAAATGGGAAATATACAACAAACAGCATAATGGGAACAAAAGGCCAACTAGAAGGTACCAAGGCACAAATCAGCCACTGGAAGCTTCTTAGTGAATTGGAATGGCAAAATTTTGGCCAAAATGTCAGATTTGGAAAGATTCTCCACCTTGGCTATATTAATTTCTTTGCTATTTGTGCTTGGATTTTGCCATTACAATTTAAATTTGTTATAATTTGAATTTCAATAAGCACCTTAGGGTTTAGTGTGGTGCATGGGGAGTAGAGTAGGGTGGGTTTATAAGACGGCCTTAAATTGATATTCGTAGACGCAGACAAAACAGTTGAAGCCCCTAGCCTGTTTGCTGCCTTGCAATGGCCCTGCAATGGGCACACTTCTAAATATTATATGTATTACAGTCATTATCATTTTACCTATAAAGACGCCAGTGTTGCTTCCACTGACACTCTCCATTGGAAAGCCTGCGTCTTCCAATGCACGATAGGTACATTCAAGAAGTAATTTGTGCTGTGGATCCATGTTCACAGTCTCCGAATTGGAAATTCCAAAGAGCTTGTTATCAAATTCATCCAGTCTACATAGATTGTAAAAATAAACTTATATAATACCTACATTCAGTACAATGCCCCCGCACCGTAAAAAAACCCACACAACATTTTGTGTCTACCTCTTGTTATCAAATTCATCCAGTCTACATAAATTGTAAAAATAAAATTATATAATACCTACATTCAGTACAGTGGCCCCACACCGTAAAAAAATAAAACAACATTTTGTCTCCCTCTGTATACCCACCCCCCTTTGCTAGGGAAATTATAAATACTGGCATTCATAACCTAGGACATACTTGAAAACGAGAGAAATCTCAAAGTATCCTTCTTGGTAAAATATTTTATGAATAAATAAAATTAAACAAAAGTAATCCATAAACACATTCATATACTGCTCCACAATTATCCCTACAATTAATATTCACACGTACTTACATTCATGAACATCCATGAATACACGAACACAGACATTCATAAACTCAGTCACAATTATTAAATTAAAAATTAAGTATTTTTGGATATAAACACGCTGTTGTCCACCCAGCCTCTCTGTTCTTACACCATATTGACACCATATCCTGGCTTCAGCAACAATACAAAGTGAGCTGAGAAATCAGTACAGAAAGATTCCAGCAGCTCCATTGGTGTCAGCACCTGCCACATGGCACCCACACAAGGAACATACGGGTAGACAAGTGCATATTCTGGTGGGTGGGGGTGCGCTGTGCACCATCTGTTGCCTGTCACCAGTGTTGGACTGTCCCTACTTAGTACTCCTCTGCATAATTCACTATACCCCTTACCTGTGCATCTTTGCTAGTTTCCCAGAAGTGCCATAATTTATATTGCTAAAGGAAAAAAGTTAAATACATAGATGAGTGCAATAAGACACTTACCCTTCAATGAGGGCTGCTCGACAAGTCCATGTTTTTCCTGCTTTATTATAATCTGGATCATACCATTTTTTTTTATCAAACCTATCACTGGGGATGTCTACTGTACAGTTTCTTCCTTCGACAATGACTTTCCAGAAATTATCAATGCCTTCACCTGTTCAATAAAAGTAATGTTATATAGATGATATGGGAAATTCATATTATTATTAGCATTTATATAGTTCCAACATATTCCGCAGCTCTGTGCAATTACAGATGAGAGACGAGAGGTAAATATGCTATATGTAATATATCTAAAATATTTCTGTTGATAATATGTAAGGTTACAGTGAGATAGTAAAAAATTAAAATTCATGGTAAATCGGTAATCAAAAAAACCCATATAAATAAATTGGTAAGAAGATTAAACCCCAAATATTACATATAGTAATGCTAATATTAATATTAAGAAAGGAAATGTCAACAGTCACGAACACGCCCACGCTGGCAGTTTCTCTAGATGCTGAAAAAGCTTTTGACAGGGTCAAGTGGCGATATATGTTTGCAGTGTTACAGCATCTGGGGCTCCCGGAGCCATACATCATGGTAGTGGAGGCGATGTATAGTAATCCCAGAGCACAGGTCTGGGTCTCGGGGGCACCTCCCTCCCCCTTCCCGCTTCATAATGGAACCCGACAGGGATGCCCGCTCTCCCCCTTACTTTTTGCTTTATCCTTAGAGCCCCTTCTGCAGGCGCTTCAAACACATCCGGGGATCCATGGGGTACGGGTGGGAGGCAAGGAATTCTTGGTAGCCGCCTACGCCGATGATGTACTTTTGATGCTCACAAGGATAGGTGAATCTATGATGGCGTTGCGGGAAGTGTTAGCGACATACGGGGAAATCTCCGGCTTTAAAGCGAACATGACGAAATCGAGTGCACTCCCCATTAGAATGCCCAAGGAAGATATAGGTCAAATACATAGAGAGCATCATATTAAGATTGAAAAGCGTTCTGTTAAACATCTGGGAATCCAATTAACCGCAGATCCGGACGACCTATATGCTTGCAACTATACTCCGTTATGGCAAGCATTGATGAGGGATATGGACAGATGGATCGATAAGCCAATCTCCTGGATAGGGCGGATCCATTCTGTCAAAATGAACATCCTGCCCAGGGCTTTGTTCCTTTTCCAGGCGCTTCCGATCCCCTTGACTAGGGCACAGCTCGCCCCGCTCCAGCTGGCAATTGGGAACTTTGTATGGCAACATAAGAGACACTGAATATCAAGATATGTCCTGTATAGGCCACGGATGAGAGTAGGACTCGGCCTCCCGGATCTGTACCACTACTATTTAGCGGTGCAATTAGCCCAGGTAGCACTCTGGCACTCACCCCCGGACGAGCGGAGATGGGTGGACATTGAGTCGGTTATGATGGGGATAGATATGCCCCAGTTCATGATGTGGGTGCCCAAGGAATACAGGCCACCGATTGGGGTCACCTGTCCGGCGGTGCTAAACTCCCTGCGGTTGTGGGACTCGTGTAAGGGAAAATATGGGCTGGCATCTTCTCCCTCCCCTCTTACGCCAATACTACGAAATCAGGAGTTTCCCCCTGGGATGGCGGCTAGGAATTTTAGAAATTTAGAGTACGCGGGCCTGCAGAGACTTCGCCACCTCTACCGGGGCCCAGACATGGTAACATTTGATGACCTGCGACAGGAAAGACACCTAACACCAGTGGATTTCTTCCGCTTTTTGCAGATTAGAGACTATGCTAGGCAACCACATATCAAGTCAATAGCACAGGGACCACTGACTTTTTTTGAATCTATGTGCGAGACAAGGTGCATACCGAGGGGACTCATAGCGCGACTCTACACGCACCTTTGCTCTATGGTGAAGGAGTGCGGGGAGATGTCTTATATTACCCAATGGAAGAGGGACCTAGGGGAGGAACTCGAGGGGGTGGAGTGGCAGGAGATCTGGGAGGCTAGCAGAACGACGTCGGTATGTGTAGCATTACAAGAACAATCCTTCAAAACAATGTTCCGTTGGTATGTGACCCCAGTTAAATTATTCAAGATGCATCAAACCACCACAGATGACTGTTGGCGCGGCTGTGGGAATAGGGGGACATACCTGCACATGTGGTGGGAATGTCCAAAGCTTAACGGATTTTTGGGGTCCATCAAGGACCTTCTAACCCAGGTTTTCTCTAGAGCTCCAACTTTAGATCCTTGGGTTTATCTCCTCAACAGGTCCATAGATGGATGGACGAGACGGGAGCAGGCACTACTCCATAAGCTCACCTTAGCAGCCAGGAGACCGATAGCATACACCTGGTTACAACCAGAAGCGCCACAGATAGCAAGTGTATACTCACGTATAAAGGAGGTGAGACTAATGGACGACCTAACAGCCAGACTGAGAGGATCCATGGGGTCATTCAGTAAGGTCTGGGAGCCATGGGATGGGAGTCCGCTGGGGGCTTAGGGGGAGCGGGAAAGCCTCGAGGGATGGGGGGAGGACGTGGGCACGGGGGTCTGTCCCGGTCTTTGGCTCCCCCCTCTCACCCGCTGCCTCCTCCATGGAACCTCATTGCCCCGACTTACTTACTTACTTACTAATTCACTTACTTTCTTTCTTTCTTCTTTCCTTCCTCTACTCTACTCATGTCTCTTAACTTTGTCTGTAGTCCATCGCCCTGACCCTCACTCGGAGGGTGGGGGACCGGACTTAGTATGGTACCGCCTACAGCACATTTAGATCAGGAGAAGAAGCGTCCCATATTCCTGTGGGATGCAAACTAGAGGTATGGGGTACCTGGGCCAGGGATGTGGAGCTAACCCTGGTTTAACACATAGCATCCACGTGCACACGTATTCAGCTTTGGCAGGAATGTCTCTGACCCGTCATCAAGACAAGAAATTATTTGGTTTTCTACATTCCTGTTTTTGATGTTGTAAAAGCCATAAATTCGCTAAGCTCATGATCTTCTTCGGTATTATGTACACCAAATGTGCTGTCTCGACTGCCATATCAGAGTATGTGATGTTACACCTGTATTTGATGTTATGGCGATGCAAACGGATGTATTCATGTGCGCTCAAATAAAATAAAGAATTTAAAAGAATTTAGTCCCAGAAGATTGGAAGTTAGCGAATGTTGTGCCCATTTACAAGAAAGGTAATAGGGAGGAGTCGGGCAACTATAGGCCAGTAAGCCTTACTTCAGTAGTGGGGAAAGTGATGGAAACCATGTTAAAGGATAGGATTGATGAACATCTAAAAACACATGGATTTCAAGATCAGAGACAACATGGGTTTACTTCAGGGAGATCATGCCAAACTAATCTTATTGATTTTTTTGATTGGGTAACTAAAATTATAGATCAGGGTGGTGCAGTAGACATTGCTTACCTAGATTTCAGTAAGGCTTTTGACACTGTTGCACATAGAAGGCTTATCAATAAACTGCAATCTTTAAGTTTGGATTCCAATATTGTTGAATGGGTAAGACAGTGGCTGAGTGACAGGCAACAGAGGGTTGTAGTTAATGGAATATATTCAAAGCTTGGACTTGTCACCAGTGGGGTACCTCAGGGATCTGTACTTGGACCCATTCTCTTTAATATTTTTATTAGTGATATTGCAGAAGGTCTTGATGGTAAGGTATGTCTTTTTGCTGATGATACTAAGATATGTAACAGGGTTGATGTTCCAGGAGGGATAAGCCAAATGACAAATGATTTAGGTAAACTAGAAAAATGGTCAGAATTGTGGCAACTGACATTTAATGTGGATAAGTGCAAGATAATGCATCTTGGACGTAAAAACCCAAGGGCAGAGTACAGAATATTTGATAGAGTCCTAACCTCAACATATGAGCAAAGGGATTTAGGGGTGATTATTTCTGATGACTTAAAGGTAGGCAGACAATGTAATAGAGCAGCAGGAAATGCTAGCAGAATGCTTGGTTGTATAGGGAGAGGTATTAGCAGTAGAAAGAGGGAAGTGCTCATGCCATTGTACAGAACACTGGTGAGACCTCACTTGGAGTATTGTACACAGTACTGGAGACCGTATCTTCAGAAGGATATTGATACCTTAGAGAGGGTTCAGAGAAGGGCTACTAAACTGGTTCATGGATTGCGGGATAAAACTTACCAGGAAAGGTTAAAGGATCTTAACATGTATAGCTTGGAGGAAAGACGAGACAGGGGGGATATGATAGAAACATTTAAATACATAAAGGGAATCAACACAGTAAAGGAGGAGACTATATTTAAAAGAAGAAAAACTACCACAACAAGAGGACATAGTCTTAAATTAGAGGGACAAAGGTTTAAAAATAATATCAGGAAGTATTACTTTACTGAGAGGGTAGTGGATGCATGGAATAGCCTTCCAGCTGAAGTGGTAGAGGTTAACACAGTAAAGGAGTTTAAGCATGCATGGGATAGGCATAAGGCTATCCTAACTATAAGATAAGGCTAGGGACTAATGAAAGTTTTTAGAAAATTGGGCAGACTAGATGGGCCGAATGGTTCTTATCTGCCGTCACATTCTATGTTTCTATGTTTCTATGTAAAAAAAAAAAAAGAAAGGAAATGTCATTAGCAATGACATTGTGTATATTTAATAAGCTTTCCAAAGGATTCAATACTGTTCGCAAAACATTCCCAATTATGTATCTGTATTCATGGTATAATAGAAATGATTTATCTGCAAACATTCTCATAGAATTTAATGGTGACTTGTGCAGACACATAAACAAGGGGTTATCGACTAAAAAAAAAAAAAAGAAGATGCAAAAAGTTGCTAACCTCTCAGTGCGGCATGACTCACATAGAACTAACTATCAGAGGGAGCAATAAAGAAAACACACTTTGTTAGTATGGATGTAAACATACGTATTAGATCAAATATTGCACTAAACCTAAGACTTTCAACTGAGTGTCAACGTCATGATCTTAATAGTAATAAATGCATGCATATCACTAGTGAATAACTCAGGAATAAACACATAAATTTTATAGGACGTATAAATATCAAATAAATGCCCAGGGGAGAGTCCCAGCCACAACACCAAAACCTGAACTAGCTTACAAACACATGGAGAAATCTAAAAACTAGAAACATTTATGAACAAGCTTCCATTGTGGTTTTCAATATATCTTTATTATATTTATTTATTTAAATGAATTAATTTATTTTCATTTTTCTATTTTTGGAGTTTGGAAAAGAATGGAATCTGGCTAATTGCTATATAATTACTGCAAAGCAATAGTGTGTAATACATTTTTTGGAGCTACATTCGCAGTTTCAGTTGTTGGATACTCTGCATATTGCAGACTCTATGCCTTTCTGTTGGGAACCTTTACGAAGGATTGTCGAATGCATTTCCAAAGAATTTATGATATTCATAAGGAACTGTGCTAGTTCAATAAATATGTCCTTTTGTAATTTTTGTATTTAAATGTAGATACATGTTATGTTTTACTTTGTAATCCAAAACGATAAACTCATGGGGGGGCGTGTCCTAACTGCGCATGGAAGCGGTCGCCTAAGCCTGAAGCTCTCCCGTCTTACGGTGAACACAGCGTGAAGAAACAGCGATTATTTCAAATTCCACGACGTCCCAAGCTGCAGACGGGCTACGGGTAGGGATGGTAGCAAAAACCTGCAAAAACGCTACAAATGCATTTAACAGCAACACCGAAAATCAGACACTGGGACCAAGATGATGATGAGAGGCCTGAATCCCCAGCCTCCTGTTCTGATATGAGTGAGAGCACACATAACTCAGATGGCATGTTGCACCCTGTCACAAACGCCTCACTACAAACCATGCAGCAAGACCTAGAGGACTCCAAGTCCGATCTTCTGAAGATTGTCTTAGACATCAGATCCAACAA